AGGTATTCTTGGAGGGAGGTGTAAGAGGTAACATGACTAGTTGAGGCTGGATCCATATTCCCAACCTCTGTCCTGTGTTTTCTGCTGAAATCTCTGGGTAATCATTCAATATGAGGCAATTAAAGAGTTGATATGAAGTGAATGAGGATTCAATGTATTTTTCTACCTTGGTTCTAGAATTTCTAAAATTTCTCTATTACAAAATAGTTTTGATATTATGATATCTTATCCTAGGAAAAAATAGCAGTATTTATAAAGAAAAATATTTATCTACAGAAATCAGGCTACAAAATAGTGATTATAGAATGCTATAATTAGTCTGAAATGGGGCAATATATATACATAAGCACTTCTGTGTGTATTGGTTATGCCTAAAAGCATCCACACACAAAAATTCTAATGCTACTTCTCTAAGAAGAAGCAAATTATATAGCTGAGACATGAAAATGGAAGAGAATTTTTCAGGATCGGCTTAGCTGAATTCCAGGCCAATGAAGGCACAGCTATATTACACAATAGTTCCACAACTTTAAGATAACATTTCTGGCACTTGATATCTTGTCCTGCATTACAAACAGAACATTTGAGAACGAGGTTCCACTTCCTACTATGAGTTTTTCTACAAACTCAATTGTTCATATTCGAGAACACAAATAAAACAATCTATAACTTTTCTAAATATGCCTTTCCTGTGTGTGATTTCAGCAGCCTTCTATTATCCAAGAGTAGAATATGTAAATCCTTTCTCCTTCTTCCCGTGATAGGATGACCTATTGCTGCATTCATCTCTACATTGTCATATCTATCTATCTTTCTCTCTCTCTCTCTCTCTCTCCCCCCCATTCTCTCTCTCCTTCTCCCTCCCCCCCCCGTCTCTCCACAAGGACATGCACCATCACTTCATACCTTGTACCTTCTTTTACCTGCACACATGTACAAGTGTCAGCAGGACAGAAAGAATCTTTGTCTTTATGAATCCTGTTGTATTTTGATTACTCTGGGCATCCTTACTTGTGAGTGGAGACATATTAGTATTCCACTCATGCCTCATAGATATATTAATGTAAAACTTTTTGATACAATTTTGCAAGCATAAGGATTGGTATTGTGTATTAGTCAGGGTTCTCTAGAGGAACAGAATTAACAGGAAGTATAATTATAAAAAGGGGATTTATTAGGTTGTCTTATGCCACCAGAAGCTGGATGGTCCACAATGGCCATCTGCAGGCTGGAGAGCCGGGAGAACCAATAGCTGCTCAGTTCAAGAGGCTGAAGCCCCAGAACAAAGGGATCAATGATGCTATCCTACTCCAAGACTGAAGGCTTCTGGAGAATCAATAGCAGAGTCCACTTTGGAAGCAGGAGTAGGATATCCTCAGACCATCTCTGTAGCAATCAGGAACCTGTTCAAGAATTGAACTTCTATCTGCTGGGGCTTGCTTGTTCTTCCAACTTTTATTCCATCCAAGCAATCATCCTATTGGACGGTGCTCCCCACACTTATGAAGGTTCTCCATTTCAGTTGGCTATCCCACATGCCAATCATTCCTAGACACACCCTCAATGACTCACCCCTAAACCTCTAAATCCTTGGCATCTCTTAATCCAACCAAGTTGAGGATTCAAATTAACCATTTCAGGTTGCATTGGCGATATGACACAGGCAGGCCAGAAGTCAAAAATTAAGTGGGCACCAGAGAAAATGTGTTTATATCAAAACAATGTGATTTGACATCCTCAAGTTTAAATTTGTCCCATTGTGCCAGATATAGAATATCTATATAAAGCCTAAATTGAGCAACAAATATACTACTTATGGTCACTTTGAAATATATATTATTTTTTTAGAGTTCTATCTTTTGAGAAAAGTAATAGGTGAATGATAAAAGTTTGAATATATATTATATATATATATATATATATATATATATATATATTTCCATAGACATATGAAAAAATAGATAAAGGCTATATAAGCTCTAAATTATGATCTCCAAGCAATTTCAATGTACCTCAGTGGATTTCATTGAAAGAGTCACAGATTTGAAAACTTGGGACTTAATAGGTGAAAACACCATGATTAGGTTTTTAAGAAATTCTAGTAAAACTCAAAGTAGAACTTGGACAAAGGAAAACAAGGCCATGACCCCTTGATACTTACAAATAATAGGAAGCAGCGTTTTACTATAGCAGTGACTGTATTGAGATTATTACTGATTTTCCTTATTGCTTTGAGCCTTTTGATTTCCTTCTTTATACCACCACAAGATTCTAGCATTAAAGTTACACTTCAACCCACTGAACTGATTTAAAGGGAAAAAATGTGAACTCTTGGAATTTCATACACTGGAGCCAGGAAGCAATTTGAATGACAAGAGCCAGCTGAAAGAACTCTGTCATTCCCTAAACATCATTCAAATTTTGGTTTCCAGAACTTCAATACTTCCATGCGTTTGTAGACTTAAATAATAATCCTAGGGAAAGCAATGCTTTCCCTGAGTTCCCTCCTCCAGAAAGAAAGGAACTGGAGAATCGCCCCGAGTATATGCAGCCCTGATGAGATGACCTATCTCATTTAATTGTTCTTTGGGTAAGACTTTTTTTCTGTGTTCACTCACTCGCTTTGTTCCCCCAACAATTAATTCGTTCTCCCAGACCATCGATATGAGTATCATAAAATAGAATTTATAAGAGTTCATCCTCATATGGGGAAACAGATGAAGCATTCCTTTAAAGAACCTGAGATTTCCCTTGCTGAATTTTTAATTAATAACAAATCCGCAGCAGGAGCTCCAGGGCCGTTGGTGTCATTGCTCTGCTCTAGTTTGCCTTCAGATCGGAGCAGAGACATCTGGCGAATGCCTGGCTCCAACAGTGTGTTGCTTTCTCCGATCAAGTTCGTCTAACAGTTTCAGATGATTTTTTTTTTTCTCCCTCTGATTTGAACTACTTTGTCAGTGTTTGCATCCATCTGTACCTAGATAACCTTTGAATATTCTCATTAAAGCCAAAGCACTCCAGGCCAGGAGACAAGCTGGTGAAGAGGTGACCTGTATATTCACAGCTTGTGCCACTGAGAAGGTGCAACAGAAGCACGGTGCAGGTGTGGGGCTTTAAGGAGAGAACCTCTGCTGTAGCCGAAAAGGCTTACCTGTTGGAACAAAACCGTCAGCCCTGGGAATAGGAAACCAGCCAGCTCACATCCTCTTTCCTCTTGCTCCCCACGTCACAGCCCCAGGGATCTCAACTGCCCTAGTATGCAGCAGGAATTCCCCAAAGCAATGGATTCAGCAGGCCACCAGATTGCTAAGGATGTCACTCCTGAAGAGTGAGGTCAGGTCTCCCTCTATCTGTGAACTCCTGGAAAGCACAGTGCCTTTTAGATTTGGGGCAAAAATACAACAAAAAAAATTAATACAGCCAATAATGAGGCCAGGTGAGGTGGCGCACAAATTTAATCCCAGATACTTAGGAGGCTGAAACAGGAGGATCTCGAGTTCAAAGCCAGCCTCAGCAACCGTGAGGCGCTAAGCAACTCAGTGAGGCCCTAAGCAACTCAGTGAGGCCCTGTCTCTAAATAAAATACAAAAGAGGGCTGGGGATGTGAAATTTCCACTGTGGTCATGAAATTTTCAGGTCTGATCAGGCACATAAACATGCTAAGACTGACAATTTAGTTTCCATTTGGAGAAGAAAAAGAACATACCTAGTCACACACACACAAATACACACACAGTGCTGTGTGTTCCTTAATGATGTGTTATTGGACAATTTGGGCATTGTGTAAACCATACAGTGTACTTACACAATGTCACTAGGTGATGTAAATTATGTATCCCACCATTGTATATGTGGTATGTCATTGGCAGGAATTTTTATGTGGCACGTGGTTGCATGTACACACGAACACATGCAAACACATAGCACATACACCATATTTTTTATCACACAATCTTCCAGAAGAGAGAGAAGTAGATACTTGGGAAAATTGGGGGCATCGGAAGATGGGGATCTGCATTGTAATTTCAAAACGCAACAATATTCCCTGGATTTTCCACATTAAACACAAAGCTGCCTTCTTTACAAATAGGAACTGGTGAGACTGATACTTCTAATATGTTATTTTTCCTTTGCAAGAAATACTGCCGATTTGTCCCCTCCCCCATAGTACACAAGGCTCACACAAAACAAATGAGTATTTTCATTGAATTGTGTGTTTCGGAAACACATTGCATTCAGGATTCCTTTTGCCAGTGGGTTTTTTAAAACACATTTTGCATATTTTTTAATACAGAAGACTCATCTTCATCTATTCGTACCCTGATAAGCCAGAAAAATGCAAGCACTAAAACTAATTTGAAGCCAATTAGTAAATCAATTGAAGGAGAAAAAAATAAAACAGAAGCTTTTCAAACTGATTGTAAACTCTCCCATCAACTGCTGTCTGTTTACAATATGGGTAAGTAGGACCCTGAATTTTTGCCAGTTAGAGATGAATTTTGTGTATGTGTGTATGTGTGGGGGTGGGGTGGGGGTGGCATGCATGAAGAAAGAGAGAGTGTGTTTTATTTAATATTCTGTCAGATTTCGGTTTCTCGGAAGATAAGCCTTCCTACACAATTGATGCTGAGTTCTTTAAGCCAAACCTAACTGAAAGTTCAGATATGCATTTATCATAACACTTGAAATCCAATCTCTGTTCCTTTTCCTTTTTCTTTGTAAAAAGTCATTACCAAACATATTGACTTTGAACCCTGGGGACTGAGAACCAGCAAAATTTGGAACAAGGATAATAGATAACAGGTTTTTGTGAGTTTGCCTCCCTCTTAGTAATAAAGAAAATGAAGAGAATGAGATTAAAGAAGAGAAATAAAAAGTGAACACAGGCCCCAGCCTGATGACCTCATCATCCCACAAATGAGTCTGGCTTACTCTCTCAAATGGAAAACGGTTTAGAATTTCTGGAGACAACTAGCTGAATCTTCTTTTGTGTAGGGAATGTTCATCGCCCGGTGACAAAGCGCAGTTCTTCTGTGTGATGATTTGTACCAGACAAGTAACGACCTGATTCACGATGGGAGTTGGTAAATGATAGGTAATGATTTTTTGAGAAACGTGTGCTAATGTGGCTTAATTGATTACCAAGGAGGACTTGGCCAGTCTGGCTGCATCCCTCATTCTGACTGCGGCTGTAGGATTGTTTTAGTATTGGCATTGTTAGGCGGCTCCATCCCAGCCCTTGCCATGCCCCATTGATTATTTTCAGCCTATTAAGACATAGAATTCATCGGTCATTTTCAAGAAATATTAGTTTTCTGTTTTCTGTGGGGCTGTCCTCTTCCTCCAGGAAATAGAAGAGAAGGGTAGCAGGGTGGCAAATGTTTTAGGAGCTAAAACCAAATAAGGGACTTCAAACAAGGGCATCAAAATGAACACACTTTTGTCCATGAGAGATCCATAATATCCCTCTGTTCATACACTCCTAGGTTTTTGCACTGTGAGATATTTAGGCTATTGCTAATAAATATTCTCCTCAAGGTCACCATGCACCTTTTTGGGCAATTTAGCTATGCACATAGGCTGGGAGAAATGTTTATGCAGTGGCATTTGAAGTTCAATCTAAAAGTTTCATAATCAAATATTTCACTCCTAGGAGATACTCAAATTCAATCACTCAGAGATAAATGCTGAGAAAGCCATGTTTAAACATCATTCTTAGCTTTCCAGTAGAATATAATCCTTTTTAAAGGCTCATTGGAACACTGAGAAGAAATTCCCCATCACCCATAAACACAACAGCTGCATATAAATCAGGTAAAACAGTCTAACTAAATGAATTGCAAGGCATGGCATCAGAAGAGAAAGAAAGAAGATTTAAAATAGGTGGAAATAGTTTCTCTGTTCTGATGTAAGTATTATGCTTTCTAGAGCTTCCGCCCTCTGTCTTCAATTTATAATTGTACGCATTCTTTTATCATTTTGAAACCAAGCATGAAATATGTCTCCAGTGATGTAAGAAATGACATTCGCTATTTTATTTAGAATGAGTATATCTAAATGGTTTTTAAACTTTTTGTTATCTTGTGATTTTAGCACATTTTCCAATGATAATACTCGAGGACCTTTTCCTTCACATGTTATTTGTTTCCTGGTGTAAATTGCAAGACACCATAGAATGTCCATGTGGGTGGTGTGAATCCAGAAAGTTCTTCTAAATTATCCAACCTCTTTCATTACATTTGGGCTTAATCTTTAATTTCTTTGGTTCTCAGTTCTATTTTATTCAACTACTTATAATAAAAATAGTAAGTTAAGATATCCTAGGGCCCGAGCAGTGGAGATTATGTCAAGATGATTTACTGAATTATTTCTAAAAGAAAGAGAGAAAGACGGTAAGAAAGGAAGAATGGGACAGACGGATGGAGGAAGAGAGAAAGTAAGGAAGGAAGGGAAGGAGAGAATTTTAAACAATAGGAAGAAATTTCCCTACAATTTGTCTTAACTGTATGTGAAGGTTTTATTTTTATTGATCTTTTTTTAAATGTTGTGAGTATATAAAGCCAACTTTACAAAAAAAGAGAAAATACAGAATGTATCATATTTTCTTATGATACAACCTCCTATTGTGCATACTTCTTTGTAATAGCAAAAGACTTTTTTTCCTTTCTCTGAAAGAAATATGATTTTTTTTAGTTTTACTGAAGTTTTAAGTTTACTTTAATCCACATTAACTTAAATAATTATTAGTTATCACTGAATGTAAAATTCATGATACATGCTTTTCTTCAGTTCTGTTTGTGATATCTTGGCTTTATTAAGCCTTAATGAGATGCTTTGGATAAACAGTTTATGCTTTCAAGGGGAAGTTGTTTGCATTCACAATATTGGTATGTAATAAAAATTTTGCTCCCCCGTTAAGGAATTCGGGAACTCCTTGCTCCATTCCCCGCCTGAAGTAAAAGAATGAGGCGCGATTATACTCATTGTAAATGAAGATGTCAGGAGAGCGTGGAGCTTTAGGTAACATGTTAAATTAAAGTTGTCAGATGTGTATTTAATTAAGATATTTAATTTGAAATGTCTGTGCTCTTCCTTAATTCCAATTGATTATTAAGAATAGATATATTTAAAATATTAAAATGGCGAGTAGAAGAAAACATGGTCTAGCTGACCTCAGGAGTCTCTATGGGATTCTGCAATTGTCAAACAAAGGAGGGATAGGTCTCTGACCTCCTAGTATGTTCTTCCCGTGATCTGAAGATGCTGTTCAAATGCTAGATTCCTGTACATAGGGGACAAATAGCCCGTCCCTCTTAACTGACTTATGAAAAACCTCTCTCAGAGTCTCCAACTTAGTTATTTATTATTTTTGCTTATATCTAACAAAATTATCTGTAATATTGTGGTGACTGTCTATCAAAACACTTTTTTAATGTCCTAATCAACATATTCATTGAGCGTCTATTGTTTGGAAAGGATTATATTAGACACCCTAAGAGCCGGAGAAAATTATTTGGAAGTATTCTACTCTTGAGTAAATTACAGTCTAATTAAGGAAACACGCATCATACCAACAAGAAGATGTGCTACAAATGCCAAATGATTAAAGTGTGAGAGTTGAATAGATTCAAAGGTATAGACAATTCTGTGAGCTGTCATGGTCAAAGTTAAGACTTCCAAACGAGGGAATTTCCGCCTACTGATTTCCTACAATGTGTCTATAATGCTTCCAAGGACCGTTCACAATCATGTCTTTATGTTACATCACTGAGACATACAGGCAGGGCCCTGGCTCTCCCGTCAAGGTTTTCTACACATAGCAAGCTGCTTTCAAAAGATGTTTCCACCAATGACCAGGTTTGGGACTCCTGCCCTGACTTTCCCTGCAATCTGAGCAAATGCAGTATGCCTGACCTTGACCCATCTATGACCTTCCAGGGGCTGCGGTAGTGAGCACCTCCACCACCTTTTGTGAGTCCATGACAATTAAATGCAAGGCACAGAAAATCATAGTGTCACATGCAAACCCTGCTTCCCAGAGCAAAGAACTGACATAAACACAAATCTTAGGATCCTGTACAAGAGCTGGCTGTGTACCTACATCAGCCCACCTTTTTGTCTATATAAGCTCTACTCCTCCTGTCTTTGAAGAGCAAGTCCAGGAACACTTACCCATGTAATGTCTCCCTTACCCTAGACATAAGCTCCCCCTCCCAAAAGCCTCACTCGGTTGGTATGTTTTGGCTTCTTTGTGATTTCTATCTCAAAGAACCTGAGACTGAGTTGGTAACATGCAGACCTGGGAACATTTAGTACTGAAAAAAAATTACTTATATCCCCATTTGACAGATGAGGAACTGAGGCACCTAGTGGTAATTCCCATAGTTAGGCAGTGCAGAGCCAGGACATGGATCTTGGAAGTCAAGTTCCAGAGCTTTGATCACCCCACATCTGACTGCCTTGTATTCAGGAAAGGAGAGATCAATGTGGGTAAGCATAAAAAACAATTTTAGGAAAATTTCAGTGGTGGAAGGAATAGCTCAGCACAAATCATATTTCAAGGAAGTGATTTGAAAGGCTATAAATGTAGACCAGGGCCAAGGTGAAGATTTCAAAAAGTAAATTATGCTACTGAGGTTTTGTCCTAAGGCAGTCACTGGAGTCTCTAGTTCATTGCTGATGTGAGAAACAGTACTTTCCAGGGTCTGCCCTGCCAAGGAGGTGGAGTGATTAGACCTTATATGAAATGCTACCACCCATAAATTATATGCTACTGCCACTTCTGTTAATGTGGTACCTATGAGACCAGGATTTTACTTGTTTAAAACTTGATCCATTATTTTTCTTTTTATCTTTTGAGTTATAGCTTTCAATCCTATTTTGAGGGTCTCTTAACAGAAAGAGAAGCCGTTTTGGGTCCTGGAAAACAGAAAATCTGAATTGACTTCTAGACACCCGTGTTTAGAGATAGGAGGAGATGGAATAAATTGCTTAACCTTTCTGCATTTCAATTTCCATCATTAACATCAAGAAAAAATAATAATAGTCCCACAATAAAATGAAAAGATGCAGCTAAGTGTCTATCATAAAAACAGCCAACAGCGGGATTGAGTAGCTGCTTCATGTATGGGGTGGCACTGTGCTGGAGAGCAGATGCACGGTATTATAGTCATCTCAGGACACGTCCCTATTTCCCTGTTGGTCCATATGGCAAAGAGGAACAACAAAGCAAATTACCTCCCCATGCTTCAAGAGTAAGTAAAGGGCAGAGCAGGGATTTGATACCACTTCCGTCTGATTTCAGAGTCTATAATCTTGCCTGTTATGCCACATGGCCACTTGGTTGCTTGCTGGTTGATAATGCATACTATCCAAAAATAGCTTCTTTTAGAGTGACTCCCTGATGTCTCGACACTAATTCATAGTGAACACTCTGCATCTCTGCATTTTACTCTACCTCACATCTTCCCCCGCCTTGTGTATCTCATCTGACTCCCAGAATATTCTTCCTGAAGGGTCAGCTTGATCATATTGTACCACTCAAAATCTTTGAATGGCTTCCTACTTCTCATTACCTAAACAGTTATGCAAAAATCCCTTCCTATGAAAGCCAAAACAAACTCTCAAAGACTGCTCAGCCTTTATGGCTGCCCCTCAGGCCCATGGACATAATTCTCCTCCCCATCTGGTAAGCTCTGGAGGATCCTGGTCCAAACTGTCCTTGGCATTTTTATGGGTAAGCCTTATCTTTTGTCACCTCTACCTTGGGGCACAACCTCTCTTCCTGACTATTTCTACCTGTGTCAGAGGAACCTGGTTACCAAATAAATGAACTTACGGAGCCATTCCAAGTAGACTAGAAGATCCATAAACATAGTTGGTAAATTGTCATGGTCACCATCTCTATACTCCAATTACTAATTTGGCATAGATAGATAGATAGATCTCTTTAATGAATGTCTTTCAAAAGGAACATGTGTTAAAGCTTAGTTTCCAGAGTGGTGGAAAGTGGTAGAACCGTTAGAAGGTGGGGTCTAGTGGGAGATCATTTGGTGTATGCCTGTTAGGGGACCTTGGTTTCTTGCTCTTTCTCTTGTTTCCTGGCCATGACATGAACTGTTTGCTCCGCTGCATGCTCACCAACATTGTCTTCTAGCATATCCACTAGAGGCCTAAAGCAATGGGTGTGCCTAATCTTGGACTGGAAACGCTAAGACTGTGAACTGAACACTTCTTTAATTTTATAAGTGACTTATGTCAGGTATTTTGTTTTAGTGACAGAAAGCTGACTAACATATACACACACATACACTTAATAAATGAATGAATGGACAACCAACTGCCTAGAATTTTGATAGCTGTGTTAATTTACTTTAGGACTTTTCTTTTTTTCCTGACCCCCAAAAGGACTACACCAAGTACCTCTGTTTTCAAAAAAGATGAGCATCAGAGAATCTCAAGAACTTTGACCAAGATCAATCAACTCTCAGGTAAATGTTGTCCAAGGCTGTGGGACTCAAAGGGAACCTCTCCACAGTGTGCCATGCTACATCTCCCAACAGGGCTATGTCACCCTGCATAACCATGATGACTCAGGTTCTTCCTATTTAAATAACTATGTAGATTTGAGCTCTTTTCAAGTAGCCTCATAGTTTAGCAATTAATGATGCTGTGAAAGCCAGAGATGGTCACTTCAGGCCAAGACATTTATAGAAGATCATAACACTGAACACAACACACACACACACACACACACACACACACACACACACATACAATTTTTTTCCTTCTGCATCCTCACAATTTAATTTCATGCCTTAAAATGGAAAACAAGACTGCTTTCATGTTCTTCCTGAACCAGCTACAATTTTAATTTACCAACACGCAACATGACCGCAACATGACGTCCATCGTAACCACCATTCTGAGAGTACCACACTGACATCCCAGAGACTCTTCACTCCCTTTACTAAATTAATTTTCTTGTCACCTTTTAGAAACTCCTGATACAAAGGAGGTTACAAAGCCAGAATGGGGTGCATGAAACTGGGGAATGGCTCCATATCTCTAGAGGTGAAGGTAAGAGGCCAGGAATTCTCTTTCTCTTCCAGATGACAAACTGAGAACTCAGAACCTGCCAGGGCACACAAGACCCCTTTAGATTCTCTTCGGTGGAGAGAAGAGGTCATATTGGCCCTGATGCTCATCTCAGGCAGTGAGGTGTGGCTGGGGGACATAAGCAATCTTTAACCTAATTAAGAAAAATAACAATAATTTCCAAATTATGGAGAACCACACAAACTGTTTCAAGAAGCAGGTCCATGGAACTTACCCGGTTTGGAAAGTCAGATCACAAAGGGCATCAAAAAGTTCAACCATGTGGCAGGTGGGTCAACTCAGGTAGAAAGAGCTGACTGCTTAAAAAGCAGAGGCCACCACAGTATTTGACAAAAGGTGTTGATTTTTTTTCCTTTGGTACAACAAAAAGCCATTAAGGACACTGGAAAAGAGAGAGAAAAAAGGAGGAGGGCAGCTCACTTGCAGGCACAAACATAATTACAGCTATTACATTTTTTTCCTAAAGTAGTTATTTGTGGTGCCTCCAACTCTAATGTGTTTTTAGGCTGCAGCCTGTTGTGACTGGGGCGGGCTGCTTGACATTTGCAAGGTTCCGTTGCTATTAAAAAGAATGATGTTATCAAGAGGAAAGCAAGGCGACAAAGCAAAATTAATTAACACCACCATCTAACAAAGCAAAATAAATTAAAAGATGGTTGACTTGCATTGTGTGCTTGCCAACGGTGACTGAGGGAAAACCAAGCTTTTAACTCCCTGTGTTCTCAGCTCAGCAGCGTGGCCGAGTGACTGGGCTCCAGGGTGACTGAGGATACTCTATGCCTGTATTTTTACACAGGCACGCAAACAGGTCAGCCATTCATATCCTTCAATAATGAAACCGTAGCATTTGCTTTCTGCATAGAGGGCAGCAGATGGAACCCGGTAGGGGATGTTTTCCCTAAATCTGCATTGCCTCCAAGCATACTTACGAAAAATATTATTAGTTTTGCAACACATTGAACATAAACGAGGATAAACCAGCTGGTAAATTTTAAACCAATTGGAGTCCACAAAGTCCTCAGATTTGGAGGGTTCAGTGGCAGCGATGATCTGTCGCTTTGCACGTGCCAGCGTCACCAACCACACCTACAACAAGTCGCCTGAAGCAACCACAAGACAACAGTGACTTTCTAGAAAACCCATTAATGGCATAGCAATGAATATCATCTTAAGTGGTCACCACTGTCTGCCATTACATGAGGATTTATGGTGCAGGTACTCTGTGGCCAGAACGGTGACAGATAAGTAGTGGGGCATCTAAGAAACATAAGTCACTGCCTGGGAGAGTTTATAATCTGGTTGGAATGGTAAAATATGGGCAGATGCAACAAACACAACAAAATAATCGTGTGTGTGTGTGTGTGTGTGTGTGTGTGTGTGTGAGTGTGATATACATACAGCTGTCACTTGGTATCTTCTGGGTCTTCCTTTCATGACCTCTCCTCTCTCGTGTTCTAAAATGTGTTGATCTTAAGTCCCTCATTTTAAATAATTTAGTATTTGCATAGAATCTTTCTGTATGCTTTAAATGATTACTTACAATGCAAATGCAATATAAATGGTTGTTATACTGTATTATTTAGGAATAAAAATAAGAAAAAATCTGCACATGTTCAGCACATTTACAAATATTTGGGAATATGTTTTTCAAATATTTTCAATTTGAGGCAGGTCAACTCCACGGATGCGGAACCTGCAGATACTCAGTGCACCTGTCTACCTACATACATGTCAATATTGGAGAGAGAGTTGATTGATCCATTTATAGAGAAACATAAGCAGCTATAATATCAGATCTATCAAAATGTTCATTTTTTTAAAAACTAACCGACTGCTTCACATTTCTAATGTATGTTGTATTTTTCAAAGTTGTTGTGTTCATATTATTGTATTTTATCATCACATCATAACTCAATAATTGAGTGAAGGAACAGAAGTGAACATTTGCATTCACAGATCAGCTGCTGATAAAGTGAAGTTAAGCTGCCTACAGGAGACTAGCAATTGGTTACAGTGGTGCAGAAATTGTTGATTTTTTTTTTCATAAAATTTAAGTCATTGTGGGAAGACACAGATAGCCGTGAACTGGCAATGTCACAGAAAAGTTTGTGAAGGAGAAGGAAGTGTGAAACAGGTAGAATTTGACCTCTTTTTGACTCTCTACCTGGAGAGCCATCCTTAGGAAGGATTCCAATCAGATGCCATCATCTGCCCCCCACCTCTGAGGGTGTTTTGAGGATTCCAATGGATTTAATGGACATTTTTTTTTGTCTTATCAGTAGTAAAATAGCTGTGATTACATAATGGTCATATATTAAATTTATACTGAGTAAATTTCCAAGTAAACATGGACCTGTAAATATTTGCACATTAATAAGAATGAGCTTTTCTTAACACCCATAAAATGTCTTCCAATACCAAACCAACAACATCTCTGTGCCTCAGGAAATGACACCAGCTCCTATCCATGGTATCTATTGCCGATTTTTTTGGAGAACTTATTTCCAAAGGCTACCATGCCAAGAAACAAGTTGTAGGGCTTCTAATGACCCTGTTAGGAAATTTCTAGGGTTTATAAGAAATAGACTTCTTATGATTATTACAATAATGAAGAAAAGACATGCAACACTTCCAAACATGAAGCTTTTTACCTATCAATAATAATTCAGTTGTGCCTCAAAGAAAATAGATAAGATACAAATATCTATATACAGATTATCATTGCCCGGTGGAGTTCACCAAGCTAAACAATCCCAACACAGTATAGTTTAGGAACTATAAACTTCAGCAGAGTCTGTGCTTTCCAGATAAGTGTTTATTTAAGAAATGCACATAGTCCTATCTTTGCATCCTCATCTTCATGTATATTATCTATGAGAATGTAAAATATAAAACAGAAAATCCAAGATGCACATCATATCTATATTTATCGGTTCAAATCTATTTCTGCCTTATCTCTTCCCTTTTCTTTCCTCCTAGCAGAGCTTATGTATACTAAAATTTATTAAGCTTACCCAAAATTAAAATTGTGGTTTAAAGGAAATACAATCATTTGAAATTATCCTTCCTTGACAAGCAACTAAATGTGGTACTGAAGCTAAAGTCAGAAAGTAAATGTGACCTAGTTTTAACATTTTCAGTTCCTAATTTAGAAATTAAAATGCTGTAGTTACACTACCTATAAGATGGAAATAAGGATTCTAAAGAATTCTTAATGATTCATGTAATGAAACATTTATAAGTCATCACAGACAAATATGAAATAATAATGACAAAGCATTCACTGCCTTGATACTAACTGGGTGTCTCTGACTTCTTTCATATTCTGAAATGAAAACAGAACATATTTATTTATATTTTTATTTTATTGAGACAATTATGCTATATTTAGATAATGCTTTCATGTTTTACTTACACTTTGCTTAGCTAAAACTATGAAATCAACTTTCTTACTTAAATATAGAGAAAGTACCCTTGGAATTGATGTTCATTGACAGGGACACTGCCCTATGATTTAAAATACAGTTAGTAAGTTATCACCTCATCCATGAACACTTATTTAGGTACATATCCATGAATTAATATATATATATCTCCACTATGGGACAATGTATAATTACACTCATTTTTCCCTTTCAATCATTAACTCACTCATACTTTCATTTAACAGGCTATTAATTGAGCATTTATTATAAACCATGACTTGCAGGGCATATTGGTTTCCTAGGTTTGTTGTAACAAAGTGCCACAAATTTGGTGGCTTAAAACAATAATAATGTATTTTTTTTATAGTTCTTGAGTCTAGAAATCTAAAATCAAGGTACGAACAGAGCCTTTGAACCTCCAAGACTGTGGATGGAATCCTTCCTCACCTTTTCCTAGCTCCTGATAGTAAGCAGAAATCCTTATTCACTCACAGCTGCACCCCTCCACTACCTGCCTCTTTGTCATGGTGTTCTTGCTGTGGATCTCAGTTTTCATGTGGCATTTTCTTCTTCTTACAGATTTCAGTCATATGGGATTGAGGTCCACCTAATCAAGTATGAACTCACCTTAACTTGACTGCATCTACAGAAGCCTCATTTCCCGCAAGGTCACATTTTAGACACTAAGGACAAGATTTCAATGTATGGGTATAGCATATGGGGGTGGAATAAACCGGAAAAAAAAACAAAAAGGGTTCCTTACTAAAGGTGGTTTCTTAATTAGTATAGGGAAGTACAAACATATGAAGTCATGTGAAAATAATTGTATATAAATATACATGATAAATATCAATTTCAAGAAGTAGAATAAAAGAAAAGCATAATGTGAGATTATAATAAAAATGTCAAGTAGGGATGTGTGTAATTCGTCCAATATGTTAGGATACTCTGACATTTCAGGATGATAGAAGCCTACCATGTCTGGGCTCAGAACGATGAACTTGTTGATTACTCCACTCTCTTTTAACCTCAAATATACATTGACTTTTAAAGTAAAACAGAATTAGAAATTCTTCTATCATTAAGAAATTCTTAATGAAAGGACAATAAAAAGACTTGTGAAACAATACATTTACAAGGTGTGCAGACTTTGTGGGAAAAGTTGTAAACAAAATATCAACATTGCAAATAGCTAATTCAATAGATTTTGAATTTTCTGTGGCTCCATTCTTCAAGTGCTAATGATATTTGAAGATGTTCATTTGGAAAGAGGCATAGTATCCATCAAGGAATTACAATTTCTAGTTATTAAAGTTGAGAAAGTTGAATCCATATATGAAATTTACACATCTCTGAGGATGATGCTGGGAGCATCATCTTACCCACATGGATGTGTTGTTTTCCATGCGGAGGCTTGTGATTTGAAGAGATGGACAGAATCTACTCTAACCAGTTTGCTGAACAACAGAGCCATTAAAAAGATTAGAAGTCATGTAAATGGGGACCCAGCTTTGGGACTAGCATCAGAGCAAACTCTCATTTAAAAAAAATTTATTGCTATCTTTGAGGATGTGAGAAAAGAGAACTCTTAGACGCTGTTGATGGAAATCCGAATTAGTATAATGGTTATAGAAAACAGTGTGGAGATTCCTCATAAGAGGAAATGTAGAATGACCATCTGATCCAGCAATCCCACTATTGGATAGATATCCAAAGGAATTGTTTAGTCAGGTTTTTAATTGATATGACTAAAAGACCAGGACAATTGTAAAGGGGGGAAATTTTATTTGAGGACTCATGGTTCAGAAGTTCATAGACAGCAGGCTCCATTCCTCTGGGCTCAAGATGAAGCAGAATATTATGACAGAAGAGTGTGATAGAGGGAAGCAGCTCACATGATGATCAGAAAGCAGAGAGAGAGAGAGACTCCACTCACCAGATACAAATAATATACAACAAATGAACACCCCCCCCAATAACCTATTTCTTCCATCCACATCCTACCTGCCTTCAGTTAGCACTCGGTCAATCCCTATCAGGAGATTAATCACTGATTAGGTTAAGACTCTTACAACCAATCATTCCTTCTCTAAACCTACTTGCACTGTCTCACAGGTGAGCTTTTGGGGGACCCTGCATCCAAATCATAACAGGAATTAAAATCTGTATGCTCAGGAGATATCTGCACTACCATGTTTATTTAAGTACCATTCACAAATGCAAAGAAATGGAATTGACCTATTTATCCAGAGATGAATAGATAAAGAAAATATGGCACCTATACACAATAAAATAGCATTCAGCTATAAAAGAAAAGGAAATCCTGCCATTTATAGCAATATGGAGAAATCTGAAGGATATTACCTAATATGAAATTAGCAGGCAGAGAACAGCAAATACTGCATGCTCTCACCCATATATGGAAATTATAATTCATTTCCTGAAAGTGCATAGTAGAACAGCGGCCATTAGAGGCTAGGAAGGGTGCATAGAAGAAGGTTGTATAACACATATCAAAAGACAGTAATAAAGGAGGAATGAGTTCTAATATTCTAGAGCACAATAAAATGAATATGTACTACCATATTTTCTTATTCATTTAAAAATTACTTAGTGAAGAGAATTTTCAGTGTTTCAACACAAAGAACTGATAGATGCTTGAAGAGGTGGATGTGCTAATTATCCTGATTTGATCAGTACGTATTGTATTTCTGCATTTAAAAATCCCTTTGTACTCCATAAATACAATTATTATGTGCCAATTAAAATTTAAAAAAGAATAAAAAAGAAATTCAGGGTCTCTTTGTCCTGCTTTCAAAGTAGATATCAACGTCAGTTTCTTAAAATATGCTGCTCACGTGAACTGTCACAGTGCTGAAAATCTTTAGTGGCTCCTGAGTATATTTCTAAATGTAGCCCATTGACCAGTGGAGAGTTTAAAAATATCCATTCCAGGTTCCCTCCCACTTCCTGCCCTGGATAAATGCAAATTTGGTTTTCTATCATACTCAAGTTTTCCAGGAACTCTAACTGAATAGGAATTAAAATCTGTATGCTCAGGATATACCTGCCCTACCATGTTTATATATTTGAAACCTACAGGGCACCATACACAACTGAGGGTAGACTTTCAGACCCCCAATTTTAAACTTGTACACTCTCTGTCTTAAATTAAAAAATCAGCTGTTAACACTATTGCTGTGCCTTTAAATTTCTCAGTAAAATCATTTGCTGTTAATCGTTGGTGATCTTTCCATTTAATTATACCCAAAGACTTCTGAACACTCTACAGGTGTGAACATGCTGATAACAGAAAATAGATTTCAAAAAACATCCTATCACTTAGTCTATCTCCACCTCCTGCTTCAGTTTCTGTGTCTTTTTTTTTTTAAACAGAACTTTTTTTTAGGAGCCTAATTACTGTCAACCATTGGGTTTTCTTGTATAAACTACTTTCTATTTTCAGAGTATCTTTGGGATAGGAAGACTGATCATCCTCTATAAAAAGTTATTTGCTCCCAGAACACCAGGTTTCAAAGTTAGCAGAGCCAAGTTCCTTCAGGCGTCCCGTTAATTAGTTTGATAAGTTTATGTGACGTAGGGTTTAATCCTACATATTTTGGAATAGGGCCCCTTCTGCCTTCAAAATGCCTGTGCTCAGCTACCCTGTAGAGAGCTAGTGAAAGGTGTCCACTTATACACAGCAGAAAAGGGACGTAATGAATCAGAAAGGGACGTGTTTTATGCAGTAAGCACTTTCCACACTTTTTCCTGCACTGCTACATTTATGCTGAAATGGTCCATTTATTTTAATCCTAAATAGGGTCCCTAGACAAGAACTCAGAATGGAAGTGAAGTAAAAGGAAAAAGAAAAGGACTTCTATTTCAGAACAAACAATTCAGAATAAGGAGGAAAAAAGAAAACAACGACTTATTTAGCCCTTGGAAAAATTGAGGTTTATAGCACCTATCCTTTCCCACCATAGGAATTTGCTATCAAAGCTTCCCCCTTACCCTCCTATCTTGATGGGACTTGCAAATAAACAAATCATCCCTCATCTTTCATCATGAGTCCATCTCCATGGCAGTCCTGCATCTGGGAGGAATGATGGGAGATCAAGTTAAAATAATCTGTCTAACGTAGAGACCTTTAATTTATGGGTTCCCAAAGTGAGAATGTGTGTCTCCCACAAAATGATGTATTCAGGATAAGTGTGCATGGCTCTGCCACAAAGCACTTGTAAGTCCACCCAAAACGCTATCAGAAGAAGAAAATTACTCAAAACAGAAATTAAGAATATTAGCATTCCATGTGCTGTTAGACCCCAGTGCTCTCTATGACGTCCCAGAAAGTTAAAGGCTAGCCCAGTTAGTATAGGTACTTGGTCACAAAACACAGAGAAGACTCAGGAACTTATTAGATCTAATTACCAGTCTTAGGTGGTAGTAACTTTACTACTCAGTTATAATAAATCATCTCTAGAGCAGTAATGTGATGATTAACCTCTAAAACACAGTACATGTCTAGTCAATTTAGAAGGAATGCAACTTATCCCTCTTTGCTAGGTACATGTGTACCTGATCCACTTCACTGATACCTTTGTACATGAAATGGTATTTGTCATTTGGGGCTACCCAGAATATTTCCATTTTGGATGAATCTCCATTGTGAAAGTCTTTTTTTAAAAGAGCCATACCTTCCTTTGTAAATGAGAAAGCCCTGCAGATACTCCATCTCCCCACTCCTGAGAACTAACGTGCAGGCATGTGGCATACAGCAGAACCACCGGATGACAGAGCAAGAATTTGAGACTCTAACAATTGACGTTAAGATGGAGTCAGAGTTGGAATCCATGAATAGTAGCAGCATGTCATAGCAAAAGTGGTGGCTGGAACATCCACAACTAGTGGCAGAAAAATAACTGCAGCCCTGATGTCCTAATTCATTTTTTCTTTAGTGAAAAAACAAATTTCTAAATTTTTTTCATTTTGCTAAGTTTTCATTGATTTCCACTAAGTTTAGGATCTTTCTATGAACCACTCAATGTTTTCCCAACAAGTTTGTATCCAGAGTAATTTTTTATGGTCATATTTTGTTGGTTACACTCATGGACCAAGGTTAGGGAAAAAAAAAACAACCTTAGAAACTTGTTGTGAGAAAGCCATTGTTTGTCTGTCTCAGGTAAAAGCCAGTCAAAGTCTTACCAACACTTCAGAAGAACAACATGAAAACCCATAACACACAATGGGTAAAAAAAATAGTATAAGTAACTTGGGATCTAATTCTGTAAAGACAAGACATTGAAAAATCACAGATTGTGAAAGAGTAGCAAGAAGAGAATGAGAACCGAACTACCACATGAGATAGCTTAAAAAAGGAAGTCCCTATACTTCCTTCTAAGGCACCGAGCTTGCCAAAGTAATCTTATATCTATCATTACATGACTCAGGTTGCTGAAACTAAACTCAAAGTTTAACCCTGCTAGTTCCTGAATTGCAATCACAATGAACTCCAGATCTCACTATTTCTTGGTGAAAATAAAGGCATTGATTAGGGATGAACACAACTACAATTTAAAAAGCATGTTGAGACCGCAGACTTATGAAAAATGTTTGCCTGCAGAAGGGTCTCTTTGTCTTATGTTGTACTTCCTCATCCAAGAGGGAAGCTGATTCCAATATCCCAGCTCCTTCAATAAGTCCATATCCGAAAGAAAGTCAAAGCC